AAAAAAAAAGGAAATTATAATTCATTTTTATCATTTTTAAAAATTTTTCATAATAGCATTCTTTTGAGATACAAAAAAAAAAAAAAAAAAAAAATATGCATAACTTGAAAAAAATATATTTTTTTTTGTTTTTATATATATGCAAAATAGCCTGATTGTTTAAATTAATAACTTTGAGGAATATAAGGATCTGGATAAAATCTGTAACATTCTGTTAATCCTCTTCTATGTAGTGTGTTTGGTTGATGTTCAATTAAATTATAAATTCTTTCAGCTAATGGTTTTTTATTTTCATCAAATTTAATAAAATTTAATTCTTTTTGATATAACCATCTATTAGACCACAAGTCAAGAATTTGTAATGGTTTGATTCTCTCATCTTTTATTTCGTTTTTCAAATCAATGATAATATCTTCAATTTTCAAAATAGTTATCCAATGCTTTATTCGTAGAAATCTACTTGATCTTCTAACTTTTTTATAACGAAAACTTAAAATTTCTTGACTCAAAGTAATTTGCTCAATGACAGCTTTTACTTTACAATAAGGAACAGTTGGTTTACCGATAATAGAAAAGTTTTTTGTTCCTACAAAAAGAACAGTACCAAAATATACAATATCACCAGCTTTTTTTCTATGTAGTCTCTCAGTTTGTACAATATCACCTATTGTTACTTTATGTTCGTTAATGAAGTTGGATTTAAAAATACAGAACATATCCTTTTTATCATTATTAAGTAAATATTCCAATTCTTTTGGAGGTTTTTCATAATAATTTTGTTCTTCTATATGTATTTTCTCTTGATTAAATAAATTTGAATTCTCCTTCTCTTCATCTTCCTCATCCTTTTTTCCTGGTCGTTTTATCATTAATATATTATTTATTTTTCTTCTTCTTCCCATTTTATTATTTTTTTCTTTAAGATCATAATTAATATAATTTTTTTTTACTATAGTTTCATTGTCACCTTTAACTAAAATAGAAGAATTATCCTGTGGTACTTCTTCATTAATTTTATTTTTAAGAGAAATATTTATGTTATCCTTTTCAAGATTGCTATTATTTTTTTTAAATCGAGTAAATGGTAAATTCTTATGTAAAATAAAAATACAGGAATTTTTATTTGATGGAAGGAGGCAATGCAAATTCTTCCACTTTCTAGCTATTGTTACTTTTTTTCTATAATTTTTACTGGTATTTCTCCATCTTATTTTTAAATCCTTGTATGTTATAAAATTATTCAAATTTTTTTTTTTTTCCTCATTTGGATGAATAGGAAAAAGTGGAGGATTAATCTTTCTTTTTCTATGCTTACCTAACATTAATTCCTTTTATAAAATTTAAAAAAAGTAAAAAAAAAAAAAAAAAAAAAACGAAATGTATATTTTATATAAAAAGAAAATAATTTGAAACTATTTTTAATTTATAAAATTATTGTCCTACAATTTTATGCCCTTCTTGTTTTCTACAAGGATAATATGTTAAATTTCTTTTCACTATAAAATTTAAAAAAAGAAAAATATTTAAAATATATATTATAATCATAACACCAAAAAAAAAAGTATATAAATGTATATAAATATAAATTATGCTATTTTCTCTTTTTTTTTTTTTTTTTTTTTTTAAAGAAACACACATATTCTAGGTATAATAAATAGGTTGTTCATCATTGTTCATAAACTGTAGGATTCCTTAAAAAATTCTACAAATTTAGTTTTGTATTCTCTTTTTAAAACCAATACATATCTTGTTCAACAATAAAAAAAAAAAAAAATTAAAAAGGAACTTATGAATTTTTCAAAGAGATACCTTTTATTATCCTTTTATTTAAAATCAAATATAACTGAATTATTTTTAGTAATTTTTCTCATCTTTTTGTAAATCAATATATATAATTATACAACAAATATTAAAAAATTAGAAAATTAACTATATGAAAAATATTAAATAGAAAAAATATTTTTTTTAACGACTTAAAGCTTATTAAAACATTCAAAAAAGAAAAAACATACTTTTAAGTTTTGTAATTTAAAAAAAAAAAAAAAAAATTTCATACACAAAATACTTCAATCATCAAATAACCCAAATAATCATAGATAAAAAATATTGAATTATTTTAAAAAAAAGAAAAAAAATTTTTATTATTTTGTGATTTATTAAATTATTCTCTCATTCCCTATTAAAACATAATAAATCATTTTAAAAATAAAAAACAAACAATGCAAAAAAAAAAAAATAAAATAAAATAAAATAAAAGAATATCAAATAAAAGAATTGCTAAATAATAATTTTTTTGTAGTTTTTTAAATTATCCTAAACCTAAAAATGTTAGTCTATTGTTATATTATTTGCATTTAACTTCATTTTATTATTCATAAATTAAAAAAGCATATTTTAATAGAAACTCCTATATTATAAAAAAAAAAAAAAAAAAAAAAAA